GGAGGCAGAGTGCATGTTGTATTGTTTTTTAATAAGGAAGATGGGGGGGTGCCCTCATTGACTCGGGTTGGCTCCCAGTCGCCTGGGGGAGGGGGTGTATTTTAATAGGAACAGTGATAAGCCCCTCCCCGAAGAGGAAGAAGGAGGGGTGGAACAGGAAACTCTCTAAACCACTGACGCCCAGAGGGCTGGTGGGATTTATTCTGGCACGCGTGCTACAATGTCCCCCGTCTGGACTGCCGCCACCCCCACCACTACCCCCTGCCCGTCCTCCTCCTCCTCCTCCTGCTCCTCCTCCTCCTCCTCCTCCGCCTCCTCCACCTCCTCCTCCTCCTCCTCCTCCTCCCCCTTCTCCTCCTCCTCCTCCTCCTCCTCCTCCTCCTCCTCCTTCTCCTCCTCCTCCTGTCCCGCCCCCCCCCCTCCGCGCACGAAATGCGACATGTAAAGATTCCACCGGCTACAAATTGAGTCCTCCCCCTGGGGGCCGTGGACACGTGAAAACACGTGCCCCGCGCACGCGCCAAGCGCATGTGTGGTCCCACCCTCCGCGCACGCACTTCTCCGTGCAAAGAATCCGCCGACTAGAACTTGGGTCCCCCCTTTGGGGCACGTGAGAACACTTGCCCCGCGCGCGCACGCTGCAGACGCATGTTGGGTCCCCCCCCTCCGCGCACGTACTTTCACGTGCGAAGAATCCGCCGACTTGAGATTCGGTACCCCCTGGAAGCCGTGGACACGTGAAGACACGTTCCCCGCGCGCACGCGCCAGGCGCATGTTGGGTCCCCCAATCCGCGCACGCATTCTCTCGCGCACGCGCCCGGCGCATGTCAGAACCCCCCCTTCGCACACGTAATTTTGCATGTGCAGAAGCCGCCGACTGCAAGTTGGGCCCGTGGACGCGTGAAAACACGTGCCTCGCGCGCACGCGCCAGGCGCATGTCGAGCCCCCCCCTCCGCGCAAGCTTTTCTACCGTGTGAAGAATCCGGCGCGCCCAAGTTGGGTCCCTCGCCTGCGGCCCCGTGGTGGACAGAAACACGTGAAAACACCTGCCGAACGCACGCTTGCCGGGACTCCTGTTGGAGACCCCCCCGCGCACGTATTTTTACGTGTTCCATTCCGACGCCTGCTGCGCGGCACCCTTCTGGACTGGAGGGCCTTTCGCCCGCGAACCGAAACAGAATTAGGTCGGGCCTGTCCCCCTACAGGGGGATTCTGGACAGAAACTAAAAAACACTCAACAAATATTCAAAAGATGCCCAGAAATACTCGAAAAATCGTCCCAAGACTATGTTTTGACTAGTGCAAGAATACCCCTCCTGTAGAGGGACAGGCCCAACGTGAAAACAGAACCCAGGAGCCGGAGCCCGTGCCGGGGAAAGACCCGCAGGGTGGCCTGGATGACCAGTCAGCCTGCGCACCCTCGAGCAGACGCTCTCGCTCCCCGGCGACACCAGCCCGGTTGTGCCGAGCTCCTGGGGGGCCACATGCGAACCCTACCCCTAGTTACCCCCCACGATGTCTGAGGGGGAGGGTGGGGTTCACCTCGCTCGGGAGCTCTCGAGCGAAGTGAACCCCACCCCCCCCCTCAGAGATCGTGGGGGGTGGGGGTAGGGTTCGCACGTGGCCCCCCAGCGTGAGCCAACCAGGGCGTCGTGCACAGGCCACGGCCGGAGCTCTTGGCCCCCATCGCCACGCGGATTTTTCTCTCCCAGCGCTGGGCTGCTCCACGACGGCCCGTGGCGCCCGAGGCGGGGCGCAGCAGAAGTCGTGCGGTGCTCCCCTCCGGGCAGCGCCTCCGGCAGCCGCGCGCACGTCGGGCAGCCTCACCGCCCGCAGGCCCTGCGGGCCGACCCCGCCAGTCGGCGAGGGCGGCCGCGCCTCGGGCGGCGCCTGCCGGCACAGGTGCCTCGTGCTAGCACTGGCCCTCGCTCGGACGTCCCTTCCCTGTGTTTTTGTTGTCGGCTTCCTGCGTGGCCTTTCTCGCCAGAGGATCGAGGGTGCTCCTCGAGGGTCCTCGCCGACAGGAGAAGTGCACACGTCCGAGCGAGCCCAAAGTTCAAGAGGAGCGTCGAGCAGGCAACGAAGGAGCTTGTCTCGCCAGAGGAGCAAGGGTGCTCCTCGATGGTCCTCGCCGACAGGAAAAGTGCACACGTCCGAGCGAGCCCAAAGTTCAAGAGGAGCGTCGAGCAGGGAACGAAGGAGCTTGTCTCGCCAGAGGATCAAGGGATGCTCCTCGAGGGTCCTCGCCGAGAGGAAAAGTGCGGAGGAGGAGGAGGAGGAGGAGGAGGCGGAGGCGGAGGCGGAGGCGGAGGCGGAGGCGGCGGAGGAGGAGGCGGAGGAGGAGGAGGAGGAGGGAGGAGGAGGAGGAGGAGGAGGACGAGGTCGAGGAGACGAGGAGGAGGAGGAGGAGGAGGCCCAAGGTCGAGGGGAGCGTCGAGCAGGGAGCGACGAGGAGCTGCTGCTCCGGCCACGGCGGGCCTCGGCCACGGGCGGGGTCCCTGCCGCAGGGGCTCGCCCAAGGAGCGGGCCGAGAGCCAGAGAGCCCCCTCCTCCTCCTCCTCGTCTCCTCGACCTCGTCTCCTCGACCTCGTCTCCTCCTCCTCCTCCTCCTCCTCCTCCTCCTCCTCCTCCTCCGCCTCTCCTCGTCTCCTCGACTCGTCTCCTCCTCCTCCTCCTCCTCCTCCTCCTCCTCCTCCTCCTCCTCCTCCTCCTCCTCCTCCTCCTCCTCCTTCCCCGGAATCCGGTGGTCCTCATTTCAGCGCCTCGGCGGCAGGTGCATCGCCTGCAGGTGCTGCAGGCCGACCCGCCATGCAGCAAGGTCTCGGCCGCGTCTCGAGCGGCTCTCCTGCTGGTACGCGGCGGTGCGAGCCGCCGAGACGGCGGCCGTGCCGTGGAGCGTCGGGCGAGAGGTCGGCGTTGACGGGGCACGGGCGCGTACACCCTGCGAAATGCTTAAGAAATCATGGGTTCAGAAATTCATAGTCTCGGAACTTGAACAAAAACCCAAGATTTCTATCAAAATCTTAGGATTTACACTGAAACGTTAAGAATAATCGAGACTCTGGCCGAAAACTTAAGTTTTCTTAAGCATCGCCTAAGGTGTAGAGTCGTCGCAGAGGCTGCAGTGCGCTGCCACATCCTGAAGCCCCGCTGCACGCCGAGGCGTTGGCCCCAAAGTATATAGAGTGCTGAAAACGAATTGGCCGGAGTTGCAGCGAGAGCAGCGTTGCTGTCTCGTCTTGCGGTGACAGTGGGAGCACCGTCTTTGCACTCGCTTCCCAGTTGAATCAGGAGGAGGAGGAGGAGGACATGGGGGAGGAAGACGACGACGACGACGACGACGAGAACGACGACGACGATGATGACGATGACGGCGACGATGACGACGACGACAACGACGACGACGATGACGACGACGACGACGACGACGACGACGACCAGGACAAGGAGGACGAGCAGAACAAGGAGCGGCAGCAGTAGCAAAACAGGCAACTGCCACAGCAGAGTCAACGGCAGCAGGACCTGTTTGCTGGCGCGGCAGCAGTCGTAGGTGGACGGATGGGGAACGAGGGCGAGGACCGCAAGACTAGGTCCTGGGGCGTCGCAGGAACGCTGCTGCGTTCTTCATCGCACAGTGCCTCCCTGCACCTGCAGAGCCTCGCCGTCGAAAGGGCGCCACTGCGGGGCTGCAGCGCTCCTCACATCGGGCGCAGCGCCTCCGCTGCAGAGCGCCTCGCGCATCCGAGCGAGCGAAGAAACAGCCCCGGACATCCGAGGACTCGATTCCTTCAGTGCGGGACCCCGACCCCTTCCCCAGGTTGGCGGCGAGCGCGGGGGGGAAGCGAGAAGGGGCGGGCAGTCTCAGAAGGCTCGGAGGTCCCCCGGCCTTCCTGAAAAGTCTTCTGGGCCCTCCCCCGAAGGCACAGGACGCTTCCCGGAGGGCTCGAGGACTGGTCTAAGAAGCCCCGCGCCTTCTGAGAAGGCCTTCTCCTTCTCCCTTCCCCCCCTCGCTCGCCGCCGGCCAGGGCCCGTTGTTCATCCCGAGCCACTGTTTGGCTGACGGTCCCAGGGCCCAGCGAGGGCCGGGGAGGCCGAAACACGCGGCTCCGCCGCGGCTTTTGTGTCGCGAGGCCACGGCATGTCCGGGCTTATCCTCGACCCCAGAGCTCTGGACCGCTTCGCTGGAACCGATGTGCCTCAGCCCTGGTTGGCCACCTGTGAGCCCTGCCCGCACCCCCCACGATTTCTACGGGGGGGGGGTTCGTGTCGCTGCGGAGCTCCCGAGCGAAGTGAACCCCCACCGCCCCCCCCCTTGAATTCGTGGAGGGTGGGGGCAGCGTTCACGTGTGGCCCTGGACTCCCGGAGGGATCTTTTTCACAATCCAGGGTCCCCGCGAGGGCCACCAGCCGCCGAACACGGTGAAAGTTTTCTTATTCGGCGGCTCGTCGGGGGTGGACAGAACCCCTGTAGTAAAACGTGGTTTGGTGAAAACGACCTCGGGCCCAAACCTGGCGGGCGCAAGCCTGGAAAATGACGGCCACGGCGCCCTCTCGAGAACCGAAAGCGGACAATTCACTAATCGACGTGTCAGGGTGGGGGTTCTCTTCACCCCCGAGTTCGACATTGGGCGGAGAAGGAAGGGGGGAGGGGGGGGGGTCTGGCTCCGAACCTCTACTGCACGCGACGGCTTGCAGCCGTGCGTCCTGTGGGGGCGACCCCACTGGCTTGAAGCAGGGGCCAATGGCAGCCAGACTCTACTCCACATAAGGGGTGGAGGAGGGGGGGGGGGGGGCGAGGGCCTGCGCGCGTCGGCAGAGCGAGGAACAAGAGAACGATCGCACGACGAAAAACCCTCGCCTTGCCGTCCGGCTGCATGCGGCCCTCCAGGAGGAGGAGGAGGAGGAAGAGGAGGAGGAGGAGGAGGAGGAGGAGGAAGAGGAGGACGAGGAGCAGGAGGAGGAGGAGGAGAAGAGGAGGACGGAGCGCCCGGGCGGGGCCTTCCCGTCCGGCTGCATGCGGCCCTCCAAGGCCACCAGCCGCGCCAGCTGCCGGAGGTGCTCCACGACGAGGGACCACTCCTGCGCAGGGGGGGGACGCCAGCGGAGGCGCGTTCCTCCTCCTCCTCCTCCTCCTCCTCCTCCTCCTCCTCCTCCTCCTCCTCCTCCTCCTCCTCCTCCTCCTCCTCCTCCTCCTCCTCCTCCTCCTCTCCTCCTCCTTCTCCTCCTCCTCCTCCTCCTCCCTCCTCCTCCTCCTCCTCCTCCTCCTCCTCCTCCTCCTCCTCCTCCTCCTCCTCCTCCTCTTCCTCCTCCTCCTGGACGGATGAGGGAGCAAAAGATAGGCCTGGGCTGGGGCGCGCAGAGCTATACTTGTGGATGCCACGACAATGGACACTCGAACAATCCGACCATTGCAGTAAGAATGCGCTTACAATGTGAAAAAACGGTGATAAGAATGTTGCAATCATGTTTTTCATAGCTAACACATGTTTGAAACATCTTTTAGACATCTGGAAACTGTTCGGCAGCATGCTTCCTCTCCATTAATCGGTTTCCACAAAGATATCCTATCTGGACGCCCGAGACGGGTACGGAGAAAAAGAGGCACAATGCCCAACAACCATTGTTGTCCGAAACCGACAGAGGCCGCCTGCTGGGAAGGCGTGATTTTGTTTTCGAAAAACAACGTCCACGGCGGCGCTGACAGCGAGTCCTGTTCAAAATGAACAAGAACTGCTGCTGGGCATCGTACCCATCCTTTCCGTAATTACCCATTTCGATCGTCCCGACGCGAATATTACATATATAGCAAGCACAGACGCTCTCCGGCGGCCAGACAGCGACAGCTGATATATATATATATAATATATATATATATATTATATATATATATATATATATATGTATATATATTCTTTCTGCGCACGTGCTCGAGAGGCACTCCAGAGGGCCGAGTCCCCTCGACGCCCGAACCGGCGACGAGGGCAGAGACATTAGCCGAAGACTCGCGACTCGCACAGCACCGATCTGCATTGAGATAGGAGGAAAAAGGGCTGGGAGGGTGGGCGGAGCTTGAGCAGCACGGCGGCGAAGCCGTGCGGCCGTCTGCTCGCTCCTTCCTCGCTTCTCGATATTAAATTTTCCAGCTAAGTACAGACGCTCTTCGGCGGCCAGACAGCGACAGCGATGATATATATATATATATATTAATATATATATATATATTATATATATATATATATGTATATATACACATACATACATACATACATACATACATACATACATACATACATACATACATACATACATACATACATACATACATACATACATACATACATACATACATATATATGTGTGTGTGTCTTTCCTGCGCACGCGCTCGAGAGGCACTCCAGAGGGCCGAGGTCCCCTCGACGCCCGAACCGGCGACGAGGGCAGAGACATCAGCCGAAGACTCGCACAGCACCCATTCTCCCAAACGGGCAGTCTGGCCGTAGGCCGGAGCCCCCCAAGGCTCAGAAATCGAAAACACGATGACAGCACAATTATACACACATCATGTCCGCAAATTTGAGACCGTGAACTTGCTCGGACGAGTGGGCGAGGACGGCAGCAGCGGCAGCGGCGAAGGGAGGAGGATATTCGGCCGCCAGGCTGGTCCACTTCCGCCCGCCTGGCGCCGCGCCCGAGAGTTCGACGTGCTGCGCCCCTGTCCGGGAGCAGATTCCATTTTTACCTTTACACCTGCACGTGAGGGGGGAGAGTGAGCTAATATTCCAACCTTGCATTCTCATGGCTTCTCGCCACCTGGTACCGTATTGACACATGTGGCAGATTGCGAAAGAGGCTTCCGAGGTCAAAGCAAGCTTTTGGAGCCGGGGAGCGGCCCACATTAAAGAGGCCTGCGGATTCTCGAGCAGAACCGGCAATCCCATTGCTAAACTCAACGCAATGATTCGACATGAGAAATGGAAGGTGGCATTCCCTATCTTGAGACGAGCTAAGTCACTATCGTTTAAGCCTGAGCAGCCCATCGGGGCCTCCGAGCCGCGCAGTGGCTTTCGGAGGGCCCGGGTCCAGGTGGTGCACGGGGTTCCCAAGAACACGCCGAGGACAAGGCCGCTTTTGAACCACCCCGAAATGATTTCCTCAAAAGCACCATGCAGATGGTCCTCCAAGGGCCCATGCAAGACATCTAGGGACAGTGCGGCGAGGCCGGCGGCCCTCCAGGCCTTGGACACTCTCCCCGAACCGGCGAAGAGTTCCAAGAAGACTCCAAACCTCCTGTACCGAGCAGACTTCAACTGTAGCTTTAGCTCCCTCCTCAGATGACGACGGACCTGAGCGGCCGAGGCTACGGCAGCCCGGCAGCGATCAGCGCCTGGACGAGTGCCGGGAGCAGCTGCCACGCGCGCGGGTGGTGCCGGACGCCTGGTCCGAGCTCGACAATCTGCTGCAGGCTGGCGTGAACGACCCGCCCGAACGTGAAGACCCAGTCCGGCACGCGGGTCATGACCTCCTGCAGGTAAGCCTCCTCTGCGTACCTCTTCATGCTGGCGGCTGCTGCCCAGCGGCCGCGCCGCTGGACCTGCTCCAACGTGCGGCGCGTTTCCAGCAAGTCCCAGCTCGCCCCCCCGTGCCGCAGCGCGCGCAGCGTCGGGCCGAGGGCGTCCAGCTTCTTGAACTGGTCGCGCAGCGCCGGCAGGGTGAAGTCCCAGAGGCTCTGCTCGGGGCCCACGACGCCCTTCAGCGCGCCGAGCAGCGGCCAGAGGTGCAGGTCGAGGTCGATCACGACGCTCTCGTTGAATAGACCTGTCTTCCCCGGGCGCCCCTCGCTCGCAGGGTGGAGCAGCAGGGCCCAGCTCCCCGCCGAGGCAGCTGCCTCCGCGGCGGGCCGCACCAGCGAGACTCCGCGGAGCCCTTGCGCCTCGAAGGGTCTCAGGTAGCAGCTGAACGCGAGCAGGATCCAGATCGCCATGCGCCGCCGCCCGCTGATGGCCAGCAGGCCGGCCAGGGCCACAGCGGCGCACCACGGCAGCGGCGCCCTGGTCATCGCGGGCGCCCGACGCTGCCACGCCACAGAGCTCCTCGTGGCCCGAAGCAAATGGGCCTTCCACGAGCCCTGGAGGCCCGGCAAGAAGTGGGCAAGCGAGGCCAGGAGCAACGACCCTTGGCTCGCCGGCGCGCCCTGAGCGAACTGGTAGTTCAGGAATCTGGTGGTGGCCTCGTCCAGCTGGCCGAGGCTTTTCCAGTCCAGGTGGTTCGCGGAACAGAACGCCACGAACTCCTGCAGGATCCTGCGGCACTGCTCCTCGGTGCCGGGCCTCACCGCCAGCGTCTCCAGCGCGCTCAGCTGACCCGACGCAGGCCTCTCGACCATCAGCCTGGCCGCCAGCGCTGCCCTCCTCGCTCGGGCGTCCGTGGCCGCCTGCGCAGGCCGCCGCGCGGGTCGCCTCCGAACGAGCGGGCCGGCCTGGCCGGCAGGCCTCCGCCGCGCGGGCATGCTGCGAGGGCGGCCTGGCGGGCCGCGGCCGACTGCGGGAGTCTGAAAACCAAGACCGGCGCCCTCGAGACAGGGCGTCTGCGGGATTGCGTTCTGACGGTATCCATCGGCAATGCAATCTAGTCCCCGTAGCAAGTGACATCATACAAATCTTCAGCAATGGCAGTTGAAGGTAACTGGAAGCTGCTCGACCTTTTGCGACGGCCAAGCAGAGGGGCACATTTTCCACCAGCGCCAGCACACGTTTCCCAAGACAGGCTGAGGACCTCAAGAGGTGCTTGTACGCAACCACCAGGGCGTCGGCCTCCAGACCTAAGATGTCATGGCCCTCCTGGACCTGAGTAGCGATGACCCCCCTCCAAGCTTTGGCGTCCAAGAGCCCCGCGAGAACCTCGTCGAACCCCATCTGCTTCTTCGAGGAGCCCTCGATGCCCAGGCCCCCCTTGGCCACCTGGAAGCCTTTGAAGTCCTCGCACGCGCCCTCGAAGACCTCCGGCGAGCCACGGGCAGCGTCCTGGTAGGTGTCCTGGGACATGTCCGGCATGCATGGCGAAGCCGTCGTGGTAGCATCTGGGGACGATTCCGACGGCAGCCCAGGGGGCTGGGCAGTGGAGGTGGGCAGGAGGAGCGCTCTGTCTCTCGCACGCGCTCCGCCGGCGACTCGGTAGCGCCAGCGCTCGCACTGCCGCCCGCAACGGGCGACGAGGTCTACGGGCGCCTGACGCCGGCACACCCCGAGGCCCTCCTCACTGGCATCGCTGGCCACCAGCCTCGAAGCCCACGGAGCCGTCAAATCGGCCACCAGGAGCGGCAGCAGGCAACGCGCCCGCCAGAGCTCCGCGCGGACCGCCGGCCACAGCGTCTGCACCTCCGCGCCCGTAGAGGCGATGAAGGCGTAGGTGGAGTTGAGCAGCCCGAGCGCCTCGCGCCCGACCATGGGCGCCCAGGTCAGGTGGCCGACGAGGATGCGGACCAAATGCCCCGAGGCGCGACCGCGGCGCAGGAGCTCCTCGATGGCGTAGCGGAGCCTCCACGCCGTGCGCCCATTGATGGTCAGCCAGCGCCCACGCCGCAGCTCCATGCCCAAGAAGCTGCAGCTGTCCGCGGCCTGCTCGGGCGTGTGCACCCGCAGCCCGACGCCCTCCAGCTCCGCCGTGACGCTGGCGAGGGCCCGGCCCGCCTCGGCCTCGACCGAGCTGACCGCCACGTAGTTGTCGACATACCCGGCGACGGCCGCCTGCCCCTCGGGCCGGATCACCACGCCGGGCAGCCCATCCTCGATGACGAGCTGGCGGGGCACCCCCGCCCGCTCAATGCCTGCCCGGAGCGCTAGCTGGCACATGTGCAAGGCCCACGAGAAGCCCATGGGCAACACGACGAGGCAGGCCTGCACGCGCTCCGTCGGCGGGAGCCCAGCGACGCCCCGAGCCTCCAGATGCCGACGAGCGATAGGCGGCAGCCGGAAGTAGTCGCAGAGCCCGTCGGGCAGCTTCAGCCGATAGAACGCGTTGTCCACGTCCCCAGCTGCGACGACCACCCGACCACCAGGCGCCTCCAGGTTGGCGAAGGCGGCTG